GTTATGCAAAAGTGGGGGGAGGAACAGAGAGAGGAAGGGCAGACACACCCAGGCCCATCCCACCTGGGTGTTACCACCTGTCTAGGGTTGAACGGTGTTCTCCAGAAAGACATGCGCACTTCTCCCAGTACCTGTGCGTGGGGCCTTGTTTGGGAAAAGGTCTTTGCAGAGTATGGAGGGTCCCAAGACGAGATGCTTCCAGGCTCAAAGTCCAACTATGCTGTTGCTGTGTCAAGTCTCAGAGCGACCCCATGTGACACAGTAGGCTTTCCTAGGCTCTAACCTTTATGGGAACAGACAGCCAGGTCTTTCTCCCAAAGGGGTCAATGTGTGAGTTCCAGCTGCCAACCCTTCCGTTAGCAGTCAAGGGCTTAACCGTTATACCACCAACAAATCCAGTTACAGGTGTCCTTGCAAGAGGAGGCTGACGGAGGGACAGCCATGTGATGACAGAGATGGGAGAGATGCAGCCTTATATAAGGGAAGGGTAGCGGGCAGCCCCCAGACACTGGGCAGGAAGCACCGAACAGACTCCTCGAGCCCCCATTAGAAGCCAGCCGTCCAACACTTAATTTAGGACTTGTGGCCTCCAGAGCTGGGGGAGAGTAAGTCTTTCTCGTTTCCAGCCACTCGGTAGTATGTTAAGGTGGCTACAGGAAGCTCCGCCCCCTCTCCCCCCAGCCAATGAGGAGCATCCTTGGGCAGAGCACCTCCAGTGACGCCCCGCCCCGCCCCGCCCCACCCCGAGTACCTTCGATGGTGCCCCACTTGGTCTTCCTTCCCAGGATCCTCCTCCCGTTGACCTGGTACTCGTGGTCGCTGCCCACCACGGCAAACGGGATCATCTCCTGGGAACGGCAGGGTGTGGTCACTCGGGGAGAGGCCAGGCCATCCCCTAGGCTCTTGGGGAGCAGCTCTAGCCTAGGGCCCCAGAACTGATGTCTGGAAGCCAGGGGCCTGGTGGGAGAGGGGCAGGTAGACACCTGGGCTGTGCCCCTCCCCAGCCAGGGGACACGCTCTGGGCTCTGCGTCCCTAAGCAGCGACTGGACAGGATAGGAGGCCCCTCCCCCTGTGCCCGCGAATAGGAACGAGGGTCTGTGAGGCTTGGGGGGCAGGCCCTGTCAGGAGCACGCACGCGGAATTTCTCGTTCACCAGGCGGTCCTCGGAGTCCTCATCGAACTCTTTCTGGGGGTACACATCAATGCCGTTGGACAGCAGGTCTGCCGTGATCTGGGGGGCAGGAAGGAGGAGATGGGAGTCCCACCCTTGCAGTGAGGTCACTGCCCACTGGGCCTCCTCCTGCTGCCAAGATGGCCACAATGCGCGCTGTCCCAGGCTTGAGGCCAAGGCAGGGTCTGGGGCGGGTGACCCTGATAGTCCCCACCTCCTGTGCCCCCCCAGGGAAGCCCAGGCAGCTGCTGCCTCCTGCTAGGGAGCCCTGCAGCTCTGGAGGCCCTGGTCATCGTCCCAAGGGTCCCCGTTCTTCCTCTCCAGCTCATCCCAAACCCCAGAAACTCCACCTAGAAATCTTCTCTCAGCCCTGTTCCCCAAGAGTCCCTGTGGTCCCCCAGCAGCCCCCTCTGTAGGCATGGCTGCACCCCAACTTCATGATGTCCAAGGCAGAGTGTCCCCATGAGATGTCATTTTTGCCCCTTGAGTGATGCAAACGGTTAACATGCTCCACTGCTAACCAAAGGCTGGGGCTTCTAGTTCATCCAAGAGCCTTGGAAGAAACGCCTGACAGCCCATGTTGAAAGATCAGCCCCTGGAAACCCCGCAGAGCAGAGCTCTGTTCTAACGCATGGGGTCAGAATCGACTCAATGTCAACTGGTTCCAGAGCAGTTTCTGGGACCTTCTCAGTCCTCTTCCTCCAGCAAACACACTGCGAGGTGAACCACCCTTCCCTTAGCATACGGGAAGATCCTTGACACCCGGCCTGGGGACAGAGGGTCAGCAAGACCCGCGTGGCTTGCAGAAGATTGACGGCCACCTCCCACTCATCAAGGAGGAGGCCTCGGGGAGCCCCGGCACCCCAATTATCAAGGTTCCCAGGGGTTCTGGCATGCACCCTGTTATGAGGAGGCAGCCACTTGGTCTCTGAAGCAGGGACAGTCCCTGTGGACCCTCTTCCATCTGATGAAACCCAGGAATTCCTAATGAAAACCTTTACCCACTGTGCCCCTAGAGGCAGGATGCACCCTGGGGAGACATGCCTTCCTTCTGGCCGGCTGCTCTGAAGCCCTCGAGAGCCCCCCACCTGAGAGCAGGGTGCAGCCATGGAGCCCCCAGCCTGAGGGCACGTCCCAAGGCTCTGTGGCTGCCTGGCCTTGGGTGACCACAGCAGGCCTGTCATGGCTGCCTCAGGGGTCCTACCCGCTGCTTGAAGTAGACCCTTTCCTCCAGGGTCAGCGTGTCGGCCTTGGCAATGACCGGGACGATGTTGACCACCTTGCTCAGGCGTTTCATGAACTCGATGTCCAGCGGCCTGAGGCTGGAACAGGACACCAAGTCAGACGGAGCTCGAGGGCTGGGAAACGGGGTCATGGCTCAGGGCCCAGGGTGGACTGAGGAGGTGCCTCGGTGGGACCACAGGGGGCTAGTGGATGGCTCCAATGCCAACAAGAGCAAGGCCACGGGTCAGCCAGGCTGGCTGTGCGGAGCAGGGACACAGGCAGTGAAAGCCACCTAGGTCACCCACTCAACAGCTGCTGACCACAGGCTTGACTCAGACACTCAGACCCAGCTGCAGGGTAGATGGGCTGTGATTCAGGTGGGCGGGAACTGGGGGTGGGCCTGTGATCGGGTGGGTGGGGATTGTGGGGGCAGCACCATTAGGTGGGCGGGGACTATGGTCAGGTGGGCGGGGACTGTGGGGGCAGCACTGTGATTGGGTGGGCGGGGACTGTGGGGGTGCGCCTGTGATCGGGTGGGCGGCACTGTGGAGGCCCGCCCAGGCCCCGCCCCGGGGCTGCACATACGCGTGGCCGGTGGCGGGGATGAAGTAGAGGCAGCAGTGCACGCGCGTGTCCGGGATGCGCTTCTTCCGGTTAATGTTGATCTCCTCCTGCAGGTACTTCTCGTACTGGTCATTAATGAACTTCATGATGGGCTGCCAGCTGCGCAGAGGGGCCGTCCCCCGGGGGCCGAGTGGTCAGGGACAGCTTATCTGCTGCTCCTCAACAGACTGCCACCAGTCTTCCCTCAACCCACAGCCAACTTCGGAGACCCTCTCAACGTACAGCCTCATCCTAGAGCCCCAAACCCACCTCTCACGCTGACCTCTGATCTCAAGGGAGGCGGGGAGAACAAGATTCCAGGGCAACCAGACTTTGGCCCAGAGTTTCTGGACCCCCTGGGACATGTAGTGCTGGGGGCAGGCTGGGCCCCTTTTCCCAGGGGCTGCCCTGGAGCCCCCGGGGCACTCTTTCACCTGGAGACACGGTGCCCACAGCCCAAGGGGTCCTCACCAGTTCTCGTTGTTGATGTGGTCCCCGAACCCTGGGGTGTCGATCACCGTCAGCTTCATGCGGACGCCCTTCTCCTCGATATCTGAACAGAACACAGACCCCAGCAAGTTCAGAGTGGAGACCAGAACTCAGACTCCTGGGAGGGAGTAACCTGTCTGTTGGGAGGAGGCCTTCAGGCCAAGTGACCAGCCCAGTCCATCAGGGGCCCAGCCTCCAGGGGCCCCACCTCAGGGACCCAACTCTAGTGATGTCCTGAGAGTGCCTCCCATCAGGGTATTTGGTGGAAACTTAGTAGCTGTCAGGGTGCTCAGTGTGACAGGGCCCTCTTGGGGTCAAGGAGAACAGCCCCAACACTTCATGGAGTCCTACCAGAGTCTCTAAGATGCCTGGGCGATGTCCTGGTGAGTGCCAGCTGAAGAGGACCTGAGTGTGCCTGACCCCGTTTCTAGGGCGCAAGCCCTCACCTTTCCCGGTGCCCCTGAACCACCCACCACCGCAGTCATTCACCGTGTGTGATGGACTTGATCTCGATCGTTTTTGGGATGCGCTCTTCTGAGGTGGGCTGCACTGACTTCCGGCTGATTTTGGATTTGAAGAGGGTGTTGATTAAGGTGGATTTCCCCAGACCGCTCTGCCCTGGGGAGAGAAAAAGGGGTCGGCAGGGCTCTCTGGAGACGGTGCTTCAGATGTGACTCAGGGTCCTGGTCTAACAACCTCCCCTGGGGACCAAGACCGGGTCACAAATACTGGACTCAGCTCCCTGTCCGTTCCTTCTTTGCCCACTGTCCTTTGTCCTGGCTAACCTCAGGCTGGGAGGTTTGTTGAAAGTGTACACAGCCAATCGTGCACCAACTCAACTGTAGGTGTGTCAACTCAACTTGTAGGATTCAGTGACGCTGACGGCCTTCTTCCAGTTGCGCAACCGTTCCTACCCTCCTTTTCTGTGCTGTACTTCCCCCCTTAACATGAAGGCACTGCGCCCTCAAAATAAAAAAGAAACAAACCCACTGCCATTGAGTCGATTCGACTCACAGCGATCCTTCCTTGGGTTTCTGGGGTGGTATCACTATGGAAGTAGATTGCTTAATCTCCCTTCTGAGGAGTGGCTGGTGGGTTTGAACCACCAGTCTTCTGGTCAGCAGTCAAGTGCCTTAGGCACTACGCCACCTAAGATGCCTATTTAATCTTTCGAGTTGCTACGGTCAACTTATCCCGTAGAGCTGCATCTTCAAAGAGCACTGCACTCAAGACCGACGCTCTTCACTCGTTAAGCTAACCTACTAGATCACAGTGTGGTTTGGAGGAGCTGGTGGCACAGTGGTTAAAGCACTGGGCTACTATCCAAAAGGTCACAGTTTGAACCCACCAGCCACCCCATGTCAGACAAATGAGGCAGTCAGTGTCGGTGATGACAGCCTTGGAAACCCCCTGGGGCAGTTCCGCTCTGACCTCTAGGGGCGCTGTGGGTCAGAAGCCACTTGATGGCAACATGTTTGTTTGCTTGTTTGTTTGGTATTGCTTAGTCTAAAGCCATAAAGGGATATTCTTGGCTTACAGCTTAAAGATTATCTCAGGGCAAGTGTTTCTGGGGTTCATCAATAGCTCCAGAAAGTCTGGAATCCATGAAAATTTGTAATTCTGTTCCACATTTCCCCTCTTTTGATCAGGATTCATTTATAAAATTTTGATCAAAATGTTCAGTAACAGTAATGGTAGCTGGGCTCAGTGGCAAAGGAGGTGTTCATGGAGACAACTCGCCTCACATTCCACTTCAAGGAAGTGTTTCTTGAGTGTAGTCTTGGGTCAAGGGCTACAGCAGGGCTCGCACACATCACTGGCCCTACTGGCCCTCTGAGGTCAGGACTATCCCATTTAATGGATGAGGAAGCTGAGGCTGGCAGAGGGGAAGAGACAGGGCGACCACCACAAGCTTAGTGGAGACAAACCTAGGATTCCACCTGGGGACTGTGGACCTCTGAGCAGGTGCCCTTGGCGCCAGCACATTCCCCGCTATAGCAGGTGGAAGGGAAATGACAGTGCCTAATCGGGGCCCGCACCCCAAGCCTGTGGCTTCTTGGCTCTTTTTAAGAGCCCCCAAATTTTACCGGGTTGCTTTGTTCTTCAGTTCCAGAAGAACCAGATGGTGCCCAGCTACCACTACCAATTCAAGTTAAGGGCCATGACAGATGGACAGAAGCGGGGGACATTGTGGAACAGAACCTCAAATTCCTAAAACAAATAAAAAACAGCTTGTTGGGCCCGTTGAGACTAGAGGACTCCTTGGGACTGTTGCCCTAAGATACTCTTTAAACTTTGAACTAAAACTAGCCCCTGACATCACTTTTTAGCTAAACAACAGACTGGCTGAGAGAATAGACGAAGGCTCGCGAGCACCGTGCTTCTTTAAAACCACCACCTGTGAGACCGAACAGTCAGCAATTACTCTAACACGAAGATGGGACCGTGAGGGGGAGGGAAGCTGTCGTCGTTGGGTGCCGTGGAGTTGGCTCGATCACAGCGACCCCCGAGCAGCAGGACGGAGCCCTGCCCGGTTCTGTGCCAGCTTCACAGTCCCCACTATTGGGGAGCCCCTCAGTGCAGCCACTGTGTCGATCCGCCCCATGGAGCGTCGTCCCTCAACTAGGACCAGAGAAGAAATACTGAGACCCCTCACGCCTTGTGCAGAATGTGACCGACGTCCCTGCACAACCCATGTAGCGATTGTTGAATGGAAACCTAAACCATGCATACACCTTCACGGAAAACACAGTAGAGTATTATTCAAAATAAAGATGGCAGCCTAGGGAACCCTATGGGGCAAGTCGACTCTGCCACAAGGGGTGGCCAGGGGTCGGAATGGACTCGCAGCACCCAATGACAGCACAGACACAGAGGTGGTGGTGGGGCAGGTACTGGGAAGACGGAGGTGGTGGAACCACACCAGCCTGGACTCCGAGGCCACGAGAAGCTGGGGAGACAAGAAAGCATGTCTCCCTCCAGCTGACATCCTGGATTCGTCATCTAGCCTCCCGAGTGGTGAGAAAATAAGTTCCTGGTCTTTAAAACCAGCCACTGTGGTCTCTGTTAAAGCAGCCCCAGCTAACTAGGGCACATGTGGAGAGAAAGACAGGCCTGGACAGGTGGACAGGCCTCCAGAGCCCCAGAAGGAAGGGACCAGCCGCCTCCAGGGGACCTACACCCATCCTGGGGGACAAGGCAAGTGGCTGGGGGGCAATGGAGGGACTCTGACTCCCCTGTGCCAGGCCCCTCCCACCTCTCTGTCTTGATAGTCAGAGCAGCCTCTCCCTGAGGCTCCCAACCCTGCTGGAGGTCCGGAGCCCTGCACCCCAGCCCCGAGAGGGCAGGAAAGGGTTGTGCCTCCCCCCACACTGCAAGCCTCCGAGAAGCTCCCCTCTGCCCACTGTGAAAGCAGGCCTCCTGTGCATGGCCCGGTGGTACAGTCTGGGCCGGGAGTGATAATCAGATTAGGGCCAGCGAGAAGCTGGGAGGGGAACCGAAGCTGAGGTTCAGAGAAGAGGACTGTGGGTCCCACGTACCCTGTGGCCCGAGTGATCTCTCTGGAGCCACACCCCCTCTAGGCCTCACTCGTTCCTGCAAACAGGAGCCCTTCTCACAGGGTGGCTGGGAGGACTAGTCAATGGGCCTCCAAGGGCTTTGGAAACAAGAGTGACCCGCCGGTCCCCCAGCCTGGCCCTGCACTCTGCCTGGCTGGGCTGGCCACTGGCCTCCCCTGGGGACCAGGCACAGGCACCCCCGTACTGCTGCACTGGAGGCCACCTCTCAGGGCCGGGGTCACTGTTCACAGCCAGGTGGCCCAGCTGCTTGGAAGATTCCAGTCAGGCCTGAGGCATGGGGTCAGCCCCACTGGGGTTCGAGAGAGGGAGAGGCTGGGGGGCTGAAGTGGGTGGTGATGGCACGCTCTGACCGCACGCCACGTTTACCTAGTGCTGCTCTGGGCCGGCAGTGTGCTTACCAGAAAGTGCTCAGGGCCTCTCAATGTGGGGGGTTGAGACCCTCTGAGGAGCTGATAGAAGCCAGGAACACAACGTCACACACAACGTGTCCTGTAGGCCAGGCTGTCACCGGTTTTATGGCAGGGGAGACGGAGCCTGGAGCATGGGTGACTCACCCATGAGCACGTGGCCTGTGCCCTGGGGTGGGGAGTGGCTGGGGGGGACGGGCAGGGACTCACCGACCACCATGATGTTGAACTCAAAGCCCTGCTTCATAGCTTTCCTCCTCATCTGCTCTAGGATGGAGTCGATGCCCACATAGCCGAAGTCCACCGACGCCTTCTCGTTCCGTGGTGCGGGGGCCTGCTTGAGCCCGGCGTCCCTGGGGGTGTCCGCCATGTCGCCGGTGCCACCGGGAGCTGCCTCGGAGGCTGTGGGTGGAGAGCGGGTGTTAAGCAGGCCAGCGTGCACGCAGAGAGCACTGGCCGAGCGGGGGCATTGTCTGTGTGTCCAAACGCCATCTCCATTTCTCAGCTGGGGGAACTGAGGGTCAGAGAGGCTGGACTCCTTGCTCAAGAAACCCCGTGGGAATGCCCACTGAGCTCACACCCCTCGCCACTGTGCCACATCCCAGGCCACTGCCCTCAGCCTGCAGAGCCCCTAAGCCCATCTCCAGACTCAAAGTTCTGTGCGACTTTTTAAACCGTGAACATACGGAATCAAATGTTTGCTGTTTTAATCATCTTCGTGTGTACAATTCAATGACACGAATTACGCTGCATGGCATCTATTTTAATCCCTCTCTACCAGTCATACCAACCTGTGCCCCTCCCTCAGCTCCAAGGCAGGGCTGAGCCCGCACCCGCCCCTCCTCTGACACTGAGCTGTGCTGCCTCCTTCAGGCCCGCTCAGACCAGGGCAGCAGGGCTCTTGGTCCTGTCTCCTCCACCTGACGTGTCACCAGGTGCACCCGCTCCACCACCGCCACCTTGACTCAGTCAGGTGCAACACCTGCCGCAGCCTAACGGCCTTGGAGCCGCTCAAGGCCAAATGGCCATGTGGCCGGGCATCCCATGTGGCGGGACAAAGCGGGCAGAATCAGACTCGTACTGTCATGTCAGAGGAAGGGTGGGCAGATGAACAGCCATTGACTAGGTCCTACAGCATCCATGACTCACCTCATTAAACCCACCCAACTGGCCAACAGCCCTGGGGGGCGGAGATTCTCTGGTGGAAGCCTCCAGAAGCAGGAGCGAATGGACACAGAGCCCACGCCCCTTCCCCACCCAACTGTCCCAGGGGATGGAAGGCCGGGAAGTGCTGGACTGGGGTGGGCACCCAAGGCCAGAGAGCACTGGCATCACTAGCAGGGAGCGGCAATGGGGTGTGCCATATCAGGTGGCACGGCAGAGGGGCGACACCAAAGTGACCGTCTATAACATTTTTGTGCAGTGTTTCACCAGA